ACTGATATAATTCTAACCCTATTATAAACCAAGAAAAATGGCCACACTGGGGAATATTGGCTTGAGGTCATGGCAGTACAGACTGAAGGCCACTATTCCTCAGAGTGGCTCAAGTAAGTGAGGTAAGCAAGTAGTTTATGATATGGCACTTTATTTTAAATTTGCCACCCTCTGAGAACAAAAACACAAGGCTCATTATTTTCATGTAAACGGTCTGTACGGCAAAATCCCGACCAAGTAAGAACCTACAAAAAGGCTTTGATTTGCCTCATGACTACCTTCTCATATAATAATTATCCTCATTACATGTAAATAAAATTGTTGCACCAAAAATATTTTGACTTTTAAGTGTGCATATGAAAAAATACACTAAAACACTTACCAAGTCATCTTTAAGATATGCAATTCCAGAAATGTAATAGTCAGTTTTGAACCTTGCAACTACAAGAAAAGAATAGATTTGAAATCAGTAAAACAAAGTAACACTACGTATGAACTGATATACTCAATACTTGTAGATGATTCTAAAAAGGCAAAAGTTTTCTTTAAATGAGTGCACTCCAATTCATATTCACCTATTTCCACAACCAAAGGAGGGAGATCTGACCTTGGAACCAGCCTTTCTTTAACCACACAAATCTGTAAAGAGATAGAGATACTACAGAGTCCTCTCTGCCATTCCAATGAGTACTCTCAGTTATTGCTCTACCAAGCTTTTCATTTAAATATGAGCACAGAGTCTCTAAAAGTTGATCACTGTTATGGTACTCAGTACCAATCTAATGAAGGAGGAAACATTTGATACCTGAACCATGTCTGCCCAGCCAATTAAAAGAGTGACATCATCCCTCCAACACAGACAGCAGCGATATAACTCAGGTCTATAACTGGAAAATAATGCACAACGTTAGTTTACAAATCAAACCCTATATGATACAGCTTTGAACCTTAGGCTAGTAACTGTTAGAGAAGGAGGTTTCTTGTGAAGATGTAAACATTCTAAACTTGGATACTATGCTTTCAAGCAATATTAATTACACTTACTTTCTGGTTTCTCTCTTTATATGAGTTATTACTCTGTGAGAATTCATGTCAAACACCTTGACCTCCTGAAAGAAACACAGTCACAGAGAGTTACTCAATGTAAATCAATTCAAGGTGAATCACATAGAAATAAATAACATCAACTGATCTACAAGGCATAGGCAAAAAGTCGTACTGTGTCATCAGCCCATGCTATAAGGGATGCTTTCCATTTTATTGTTCTAATGTTTCCTTCTCCTTCATGTAAGATACTTGACTTGTTTCTGAACCAGCCTCTCTCTGTCAAAATCAACTGTAGAGAAAACAGTCATAAAACGTGAAATTAAACAGATTCAACAAATATCATATCAATCAAAGGTTGTAAAGTTTTGCTGTAAAGGGGGTTACAGATGCTTAAAATTCTAACCAGTGCAGTGAAGCAAAAGGGTTTTGAAACCTTTCCAAGGGGGAAATTCTCATGATCACTTAATGTTGGCTAATTTATGATGATATAATAAAATCAGGGTGGCAGATCTAGATGCAACTCATTTAATTTACGTATATTATATATATATAATAGGAAAAAGAAAAACAGCACACCTTTGTTCCTCCTGTAACATACATTTTGGTTCTTTTCTTGGAGAACTCAGGATCCAAAGCTACTGACTGAAAAAGACACGGAAATAGTGACATGCAGACTATGAGTTTAACTTCATCATTACATGCACTAAAATGGCAAAAATATCCCCTTACCTTAACAGGAGTGTCAAAGCTGGCCTGGACATTGTTTTCAGAGCTATAAAGGCCATTTATTACAACCTAAAAGCACAAATCAGTTCAGCTACTTCACACCATTATTTTAAACACAATTCAATATCATGTCTGTATAAGAGAAGTTTATAAAATTGAGGAAAGACCTCATCTCCCATAATGAAAGCCTGAATATGCAAATCAGAAGATGTGAAAAATAGACAAGTCAATTTAATTAAGAGTTTAAAATGAGAGAATGTGAGGATTGCTCACAAAGAAATATTTGTACTTAAAGAATAAAATAATCTCATTTTAAATTGGTTTAACAGTACTCACTCGTCCATCATCAGAGCAGCTGGCAACATAGTCTCCACTCTGATCAATGCTGATTTGATTGATAGCTGTAGTGTGCTAAAAGGATATGTTTGAAGAACTGTGAAAATGCTAGCACAACTATTGTTGATTCTTATCAAGAACTACAATGGAGCAATTTTCAGTCAAGTATTGATGGTAATCTGGGATTGCATTCATTTGGGTTTGCTTCATATCACTTGCTGATTGCTCCAGAAAACTCTCACCAGCATCTAACCTGGCCAGATACTTAAACCAATTGTAACTTGTTCATCCACACTTTCCCATGCTTTAGGCAGTTTGCCCATGTTCACTTTAAATAAAGAGGGTAAGTTTCCAAGGACACTGTGGTGCTGCAATAGTAGCAGATGTTAAGAGACAATTTGGTTTAATCAACTAAGTTTTAAATGTAAATTGACCACTCTAAAGAGTTTCTAAAGCTGAATTTGGAGAAACTTTGTCAGCAAATAACACAGAATAATGCATTTCATAACCTTTCCATTAATATATAGCTTATGGTGGTTATGCCTTTAAATAGCACATTTTTTTTTTGGCTTATCACTCCTGGAATGGTTTACCACATCCTAAATTATGGCAATTGATCTCTCCTGACCCTCTGTTCAATAAAACGATGCAATAATCAAAGTGAACAGAAATGGTCTCCAACAGTACTGGGATATGTTTGAAAGTGGATGCTAAAGAAGAAATACTTAGCAGCCAAGTTATTGTGGATGCTGTATTGTTTTGTTTCTACCATAATTATAATATCTTTTTAAAATAGTGTTATTTTGACCATCATTCTTGTACTTACTGATGGATATTTTTTACTACTGCTTGGGTTTCCTTGATGGTCCAGTATATGAACAACTCCATAGTGAGTTCCAAGGGCAAGAAACTACAATAAGTATTTGAACAAAATCTTATAACTTGCAAACAAAATTTAACAAATAGATTCCAGGTTGCCGTGTATTTGTTCAGAATGTGGTAAGAACAGAAAAGTGGCCCACCAGGTAAAACAGAGTGAGTCTCTGATGTTCTTACAACATTTTGTTATCTTCAATGATCTATTACTCTATCACAGGAACATGGAATCCATTTGTTTTGCAAGCAAAAAATTGTTAATGGTGAGGTCATCCATATGTCTATCCTATGAAATAGATCATTAGAAAGGACTAATCAAACTGCGCACATAATTCAGCTAATGATATAAAAACTGTTTCACATCGCTTTTGTACACCCTTGGATTGTTACAGTTATGGTGTATGAGCACTGCCCTGCAAAGCAAGTAAACCTTTCGTCCCTCTTCATGTTGAAAAAGAGAAACATCATTGCATACAGCCAAAGTCTTTGAAAGCTTCCATGTTATTAACATGTACTATAGTTTGTGCGCTGAGGTTCGTTATCGTTGATCAGGGGTGAACCTATGCTTTGCACGATAATATGGAACCCATATGGCCCACACTGACGATTAACCGGGGGCGGGGAAAGGAAGGGGAGAGTGGTGGAGAGAGAGTAGTTATCGAAATTAAAATAAAAGGAAAGCTAACAGGGCCTGGTTGAGCTCTGCGATCGCACCTTCGTGTGGACTGCCATACAACTTGCGCACTCTTCTCCATTCAGAATAGTATTCATAGCATTTCCAATTCTTTCGTATTTCAACTTGGGTTCCACCTCGTCCTCATCTTCTTCAGACCCCTCTTCTTCATCATCATCATCATCATCTTCATCTTCTTCGTTGTCATCATCTTCTTCGGCTTCCTGAAATTCATTCCCCGGTCATTCCCAAAACAATGACACAGTTAATTTAAGACAATTAACTATTCAAAAACAACAATAACACACTAATTTAATAATACCGGGTCGTTTATGCCGGATTTCAATCTCAGTTCAAACTCATTTCGCTCTGTTTTGTCCGCCATTTTGTTGAAAACTGTGGCAATCAGTATGTCATGTAAAATTAATATAATGTCTTGCGTATTCTCATGTTGATCTCCAATGTCTCTAGGGTAGGCTGAGGCTATTACTATCGTCTGAGGGAGATTGAGGGTCTGCTATTTCTTTCAGAAATAAAATGATCATAGACATTAAATTTACGTTTTTCTTAAGAAACTCATACGATTTCATTCACATCTGGCTCGTGTTCTTCAAAAAATAAAGCGAATTTGCGCTTTAAAGGAAAGCTTAGCACTGAATACCTGGGGGAGAGGGGTAAGAACCACGTGCGTACTTCAAAATGGCGGCTGTGCAAGACCAAAACAGCGCTCTTCCAGACTTGAAGAATTTAACCTCTTGCAACTTCGGTAAATTGTCACAACAACAAAACAAGGTACTGATAAATTTATTTTTATCAATTTATTTTTGACCTTGGCGATAAAAATTTTTATTCTGCGAATTATTTCACTCTCTAGATACTACAAGATCTTGTCAGCCCGCACATAAGGTCGTTCAACTTCATGCTGGAAGAAGGGCTTTCTCTTGCAGTCCAGGTGCGAAACTCTCTTTCTTGGGCGTTTTTCACGGGTATTTTGTAAATAGATGTACATCTTTAAATCGCAGTATTTTACACTTCTCGTTCTTTTTCTAGGCCATACATCCACAAGAATTCTTGCTTGCAGATGGACAGAGAGCCACGATATACTTCACTGTAAGTTTTCTCAAGTTTTAAGCTTTTTGTTTCAATGGCCTCATTATCAAGTGATCGATAAATTGGACAACAGGTTGTTCTACTTACTGATGAACGGATTGTATAAGTGCATGCCCGGCTAACTGATGGACTTAAACCCCCTGACTGATACGCTGGCTCACAATAATCAACTCATTCTATGAACAGCTTATTGCGGCTTATAAACCGCGCCAACTGATGAAGTAATTTTTTACTAACTGATTGGCTGACTAAGTGACTGACTGACTGGACCCATCTCAGCAATCCCCTCTGCCAAGGTATCAAATTTGATGTTTCAGGAAGCCTGATGAAAAGAGAGCACTTTGCTTTGATGAATAATTTGTTCCTTTCATTTTAAGCCATGTATTTTTCACTTAAAACATGATAAAGTACTTTTGCCTGAACTTTTTGTGAGTGTAGGTCAAGATCTAACATTTAAAATTGCTGTGTCCCTGTTGCATGACCATACAACCAGTGTTGCTTTGTGTCAGTGGCAAAAAAGAACTTATGATTTCAGGATGCTTCAATTGGAGTCCCTACAGTGTCAGAAAACAACTTACATGCTTCACAGATGAAGTTGTTCCCTTCTGAGGTAAGCCTCTTGGGAAGAATTACAAATAGATAAATAGATAGTTGAAATTTCCCAAATAACCATTCCTATGGTGTCTCTGCATCCACTATTTCTCAGACAAATGTGATTGAAGAGGGTTGGATTTGATTTTAGAGAATGTAGATGATGAAACAAAACTCAAATCTAAGAGGAGAACTTACAAAAAACTCAGTCAACACATAACAACATGCAATGTCAGTAGGGCGAAGGTTTTTAGCTTCTCTTACCACTGAATCACATCAGAGATTGCCTCTATTTAAGGCACTGTTCTTTTAGGTTGGAATCAACCACATGTTTTTTATTATTATTCTTAAGTAACTGAGTTTATTTTGCATTCATGTCATAGACAGTTTTACTTTAATTTTTGACAATGATTTTGTTTGATCTTAGTGTAGAGAACGTGGGGTTACATACAAAGCAAAACTCCAGGTTACTCTGCAATGGAAAATTAACAACCAGCTGCAAGGAAGTGTTTCAAAGGTCATTGCTAGTATACCAATGATGGTCAAGGTAGGGTGTGATCTTTTCTCCTTTATTGCAGAAATAACTGTTGCTGTGTATACTCTTCTCTAAATTTACTCGACACCAGTATTTGTTGCCTTTCATTGCTATTATTAAAAGTTCCTATCTTCATTGTGATTTTAATGAAAAAGTTGTCTTACTCCAGACTAACAAATATCTGGTTGTAGAATGGGTTAAGTCAGTGGACAATCAAAGTAAAGTTGATAATCAAGTTAAATTCAATGATGGTATTTTTCATTTCATTGTTATTGTGAATTAAGAGAATCTGGTTCTCTCAGAGTTAGCCCTTAAATGACTTTGCTATGATCTGCTGAATGAATTGGGACAGTAGCTTCCCTAGAAAGTTTACTCTCAAAAATGTTATTTCAGAGTCATTATGATTTTATAACCTTAACATAATCTTCCTGAATGCTGATTTTGTGGTCATTCTTTTCAGTCTAACCACTGCTCCCTAGCAAAGCTTTCACCTCAGGAACTGGTTCAGAAACACGAGGAGGCAGAGGTAGAATCATGCTAGAACTATACAAGAGGACACATCAGAATATATTTTAACAGTTCTTAGTGTTATGCAGACAACCACAACACAAGTTATTACTTCAATAAGCCGTCAAGAACTCCAAGTAAAAACGCAAACTGCTCAAAGCACTGGCAAAGACACTTTATTTGTTGAGTGGAAGGTGGAAGGTTTCTAGACTGATATCAGAGCAAAGAAAAGAACAACTGAAGCAAGCTATAATTGCTTTCTTAATTTAATTGAAAATTGAAGATAACATCAGATCTGATTTCTGTCTGTCTCTCAAGATTTCTGTCCTAGTTTAGCACCACCTTTCCTTAGAAAATGCTAGCCACTGGTCTTCCCTGTTTAAGTAATGTGATGTAGTTTTTGTCAGTATTAGGATTAAGCTGTAATGTTGGACAGAGTCAGAGTTTTGTATTCTATTTCTGCAGGAAGCTGGAGGTTATTTCATAGTCAATGGAATTGAAAAAATTATAAGAATGCTCATCCTTCCTAGAAGAAACTTTGTAAGTTTTGCTGTTGATGCCTGTTAACCAGCAAAATTTATACATCACCTGGTTTATTCCTTGAGTGTTTGTTAACTACTTGTTGTTTCTTTGAAAACCAATACAACATATCAGAGACAATATTAGTAGACTGCTAAATTAAAAATTGAATAAAACCAAATAAAACCTAACTCATAACATTTTCAATGACGTCTGTTTTTTAAGCCAGTAGCTGTTCAAAGACCATCATGGAAGACAAGGGGCACCATGTACACAGAATATGGCATTCAGATGAGATCAGTCAGGAAGGACCAAACAGCTATGGTAAAAAGTTTGCCAATATCTCTTTCCTCATCAATTGAATAACATCACCTCACTTAATAAAATGTTAAGTATAATATCTCTCAAGAGGAAAATCTGTGAGTTGCAAAAACACAGACAGTGCAGGGCTTCAAGTTCAACTCTTTCAAGATCACCCTTTGGTGACTTAAAATTCCATTATGGCTACCAGAAATTAAATTTTAGCTACCACAAAAAAAGTTTTACAGTTTGCTATGTAACCTTAGCATGCAGGTTGCCAAATTGGCAACTTTTCTTACAGATTTTGCAGAAAAATATTCTTTTACATTTAAAATCTTATTAATCCCTTTGGATTCGCTTTTTTGATGGCAAAAACTGTGAGTACATTTGTGTGGTGTGTCACATACATAATACTTGTATGTAATTGTTATGGTGGAATTAGTGTGAACTCCCCAGGAAAGATACATTCAAGACAATGTGGTGGCACTAAGTGTTGGTCTTACAAATAAGGAAACCTGCATGTTTCCAAGGAAGATTTCTTTATATACAGGGCCAAGCCCAATTTTTATTGTCTTTTTAAGTTGCCAACATATGCAGTTTTCAAAGAGCTAATCATTGTTTTTATGCTGGTATTTTTTAGAATATGATTCTCCACTATCTTTCTGATGGAAGTATTGTGATAGCTATTTCCTATGAGAAAGAATTGTTTTATGTTCCACTGGTTTTCATTCTCAAAGTGAGTGTTTAACTTTTCTGTATGCATCATGTTGTTGGTTATGCATCTGTAGCAAAGGGATTGATTTAGTGAATAGTTTTTTGCCTTTGTCTTTTTTATCCACATGTAAGGCCTTAGTTAAAATAACAGATCAACAAATCTACCGTCATCTGGTGGCAGGAGAAGAAGAGAACAGCTTCCTTAAAGAGTAAGTATCTTTCTTGTACTGAGATCTATCTGATCAAGCTTGGTGTCAACATCACAAGAAATTAGCCTTGCAAGTTCTTCTTTAATGAGTTAAATTCTAAACTTGTAGAGTCTCTTTATAATTCTACACCAGAAGTTATCTAAATTTGTGTTTATCTCTAAGAAAGAAATGTTTGTTCTCCCTCACGTTTTCTTTACTCTCTTTAAAGCTGTGTAGCCACAATGCTCAGATCTGCCCAATTACAGGGAGCTACCACTCAACAGGCTGTGCTCAAATTTATTGGTAAGAAACAACCCCATGAAATCCTTAGTAAGTTTCCACATTGTGTATCATGAAACTTGGAAATCTAATAATGATCTCTATGACAATCAATGATGAAAGTGCTCATAAAGATATTTTAGATTGTATTAAAAATGATCAATAAAGATAAAATTATAATTCCCTCCTTGCCAGCTCTGATAGAGAACTCCCAGTTCTGCAGCACTTACATCTGAGCATGGTTCAGATTTCATTTCACTTTTCAAAAATACAGTTTTAGATGCAACTTATTGAGGATTTGTAAAATGAAGAAGTATTAAAAATTTTCACTCCATAGGCAAGAGGGTAAGCATCCTGGTAATTTTTATATTGTAGACTTACCCCTCCCTCAGTTTGCACCTACACTCACACACACACACAGAGAAAAAAAAACAACAACAAAGATACTGCAGATTTTTGCAAAGGTGAATCTTAATTGGGAGACTGAAGTTCTTTTGAAAAAGCTACTCTACACCCTAGCACATTTATTTTTTTTGTTTGTCTGATTTACATTTGTGCAAATAGGTGAAAGATTCAGAGTCAAGATGAGGTTACCAGACTGGTACTCTGATGAAGCTGTAGCTCAATTTGTTCTCCAGTAAGTGGTCTTTGTGTTGTTAGTGCCTTGTGTAGAGTTTGTATGGGCATAACAGAGACTAGAAAATTGTAGAAAACATCATAATATTTAAACAAAAGGTGACAGGAAGTCATTGCTTGTTAATAACTTGAACCATGTCGTTGTTCTTATCATTATTATGTTGTTACCAGCTGAGGTTAACAGCGTGTCAGCTTAGAAATAAAGTTTCTATTTGATGCGTGGCAAGTGATGCAGTAGCCAGTGATTAGTGGCATTATTGCATGTACAGTTATTAAGCTCAATGGATTTTTAGCATTATGTCCTGTTTGGAGAGTTATCCTACCAATGTTAGTTACAAGGGTTTGGTGTTCTTTTTGTTGTTCATCTACAGTAATGGCAAGTGTCCATGAGCAAGGGCCTTTGAGGATAAACTCAGAAATAATGATCAGCATTTGAGAAAGCTGATGCACCTTGTAAATACAATTTTGGATGGGTTATGTAACAAATCTGTTGTGTGCACTTAATTTAGGCAATTTCATTTTACTCCTCAGAAACTGTGTTTGTGTTCACCTGAATGCAGATGTAGATAAGTTTAATTTAATGATGTAAGTATGAAGGATTTCTGTTTGAAAGAAAGTTGTTTCCCTGATTTTCAAGTTGTGCTGAATTGTGAACTTGCAATGTGACACAATTTCTTCTTTTTGATTCCCATAACTCTTTGTTTTACAGTTTCATGGCAAGGAAGCTGTATGCATTTGCTCTAGAAAAGTGTGCAACAGAAAGTGCAGATAATCCAATGATGCAAGAAGTACTTCTTGGTGGACATTTGTATCTTATGACCTTAAAGGTAATATGCTGCATGAGAACCTTTTTTTGGTTTGGAAAAAGTCTGCAATGAAAGCATAAAGGGGTAAGTTTCTAAAGAAACTGTGGTGCTGCGTCGGTGGGAGAGTATAGCAGGTAATTTAGTGTTAACAACTGAGTTGACATAAATTGGCCACCGTAAAGGGTAAAAAAGCTGACCTTTTGAGCGTTAGCCCTTCGTCAGAGCGATGACGATTAATTTCAGGATCTGGAAAAGGGACTCATTTATTTAATTAGTGACCACTAATTTTAGAAAAGCATTCTGCTGTTCCATGTTGTATACAGCCTACCCTTAAGTGATGATCATGTATATGGTGCACACTGCTTATTAACCCTTTGACTTCAAAGAGTGTCTAGCATCTAATTTCTCCATACAATATCACCCCCAAATCACAACTAATGAAGTTCTTGATTATCAAACAAATTCTTTTTGTCAGCACCTTAGGAAATGTATAGAGAACAGTGTGGTGAATATTCATACTGATGTTAGAGTGTAAAGGGTCAATAGCTGTTTCATGTACAAGACAGTGTAACATTCAGTGACAATAAAGATAGAATTGTAACATGTCTGTATCTTCAGGAAAAGCTGGAGGTCTGGCTGTATAGTGTGCGGGCCAATATTGAAAAGGATATGACAAAGAAACAAAGTTATTGTTTAAATACAGGTGAGAAGTGAATATGGCGATATTCCATTAATTCCACAGCTCAAAATTTATGAAGTGTGTTAAAAAAGTCTTGAAAAAAAGTAATGATTAGGTACTAAAGATGTGCAGAAATTGTTAGATTAGTTATTTGTTGTTTTTTTTTTAATAAGATTAACTATTGTAGAAAAGGATACTTCCTGACCTCAGATATGAAAAGTGTAGCATTGGTCATAGTTTTACTGTTTTTGTTTTGTTATCTACACTTTTGCTCTACATTTTGGTTTCTGGCAGTGGACCGGGTGAAGTTCTGTAGCATATATTTCCATAAGACTCATCTTGCACACTGTCTTTCTTATTTTTATGCAGCTAGTTTACTACAGGCAATGTCACGTAGCACCAACATCTCACACCAAATGGAATATCTCCTTGCTACTGGTAATCTAGTGTCAAGATCAGGCCTTGGTCTTATGCAGGTTAGCTGTTTACCTCTTGTTTTTCCAATATACTTTACTTTATTTAGTTTTTACTCTCTTCTTGTTTTTATGTCAGTCAAGCAACCCCCAACTTCAGCCTCTTTCCCCCATTTCCTTTTCTATGGTTTTCTTCCAAGTTTTCTTAGGACAGCCTCTCTTTGGTAGGGAGTTCATCAAAGAGCACATCTGTACAGGGCTGATGGTGTTCTTTTGGAGTACATGGCTGTTTTTAAAACAAAGATTGCCTTATTCAGTTTTTACCCTCTCTCTTCAGGACCTCCTTCTCTTGTTCCTTGTGCCTTATGAACATCCCGGCAAATTAAAGTTTGGTTTATTTAATCCTGCAACAGCATACAATTCACATTTTCATATGATTGATTCATTAGAAGATTCATGTGCAGAGACTTCATCATCATGTTTGACTGTCATTAAGGAGAGAATTGTTTTTAAGTTTTTCAAACACTCCCAAAAGACTAAAGATCACCATATAAATGTTCCAAAGTTGATCTGCAGAATTGTGATGGTTTCCATGAGTCAATGTACCTTAATTTGTGTCAATAAGTCTAAGGAGCAAAGTGGCTTATTTATGGCAATGTCTCCTGACCTTAATTTGAGCAGCAACATTTATTGCAAAAACCTTGTATTATACTTGTTTTAGTTGTCTATAAATTAAAAAATTTAATGTCTTTTTGATTGATTTTGTATACTTTTGCATTCTTTGGTGTCCAGTATAGCTATACAGGAAAATGCTGGAAATCAAGCATAAAAGTAATCCTCAATGGACAATTGCTGTATACTGAAGTGGATTAAGATGTATAATGGAATCAAATTATTGTTTTTATTCTCCAGACCACAGGATTTTCCGTGGTGGCTGACCGACTCAATTTCTACAGGTTTCTGTCCCACTTCCGGTGTGTTCACAGAGGAACTTTTTTTTCTCAGATGAGAACAACATCTGTGAGGAAGTTATTACCAGAAGCTTGGGGTATGCTCTTCTCAATTAAAAATCTCTCATCTGTGTCACTTTCCAGTTTTGTGGTAAGTGTTTTTTTTTGTTTTATGTTGAAGGGTTTCTATGCCCAGTACACACTCCTGATGGGGCACCATGTGGTCTTTTGAACCATTTGTCGGCATCATGTCAGGTAAACTTTGTGATTACCTAAATTATTCAAATTTAGTTAAAACAAGATATGTTTGCCTTCCTCTTTTTTTTTCTTAGTACAATTTTCAGGACTTTTAATGCATTGTATATCTTAAAAAAAGTGGTTAACCGTTTAACTCCCAGGGGTGATTTAGACAGAATTTCTCCTAACAATATCAATACAATATCAAGCAGATAGGTAGTGAGAGAAAAGAAGAATATCACGTACAGGGGATTATCAGCTGTATCACCAAATTCTCCAACTGACATGATTAGAATTTTATGGCAGACAATAGGGAGAATTACCAAGGAGATCTTTGGAGTGAAAGGTTTAAAGACCAGCCCTCATTTTTGGAAGGGGGAGGCCTATACACTTATGAATAAGGATAATTGTCTTTGTTAGGATTCTTAAGCAGCAAATATTTGACAACAAAACTATGGCATAGTTCAGTTGAAGTGTGTTGCTAGTTTTAAAACAGGTACCCTACGTCTCACAGGTTGTGAATGATGTGCTACAGACTTCCCACCTTCTCAGGCTGTTATGTTCATTAGGCATGAGTCTGATTGATGCCCCTGCACCTGCTGATGTGAAGTCTTGTTATGTGGTTATCTTAGATGGCAGAGTGATTGGTAGAGTTGATATGGACCTTGCACCATCACTTGCCAACAGACTGCGCATGTTAAAAGTACTTGGACTAGAGGAGGTACATAGGCAAAATAAAGGCTGATAAGCTTTTTTTTCTTTTCTTACTCTGAAAAACAATGTAGTGGTAGCTTGTATTGGCATGGAGGAAAGTTTGCAACAGGTTCCCATGTTTCATTAGTAACCCTGGGAACCTGTTGAACCCTGGAGACAGAAAATGCAACAAGCAAGTATTATTTGACCACAGATATCAACTCCAATCATAAAGCGAAGGTGAAAAACAAGAAGTTTCTGCAAAATGGGGAAAACCACACCAGATTTTAACTGATGCCTAGCATGTGCCATCAGCAGTATATTTTGCAGGGTGTCACCATCTGCCATATCTATCCTGTTGGGTAAAGATTTTGAGTGCAATGTTTCCATCCTGTTAGATTCCTCAGATGCTGGAGATATGTCTTGTGCCCATTACAAAAGTAGCAAGCCAATACCCAGGCTTGTATATTTTCTCCACCCCAGCTCGAATGATGAGGCCTGTATTTAACCTGGCTGCAAACAAAGTGGAAATGATTGGAACTTTTGAGCAGGTTTGTTTCCTGTCTAATGTTAACCCTTTAACTCCCAAGATCTGATTGTCAATTCTCCCCTCTAGCTGCCACACATCTCGCTGTAAACTACTTAAATAGAATTTGGTGTTAGATCACGATAAAAACTTTTACTTGATAAGTTTGAGTTTTCTTATTACCTGTTTGCTGGGTAATTAATGGATATTATTGGGAGAAGTTACAAATCAATCAATTCTGGTAGTTAAAGGTTTAACCTAACCCAGTAATAATTTCAAAGAGCAAATCATATGTTACAGGATATTTTTTTTCTTTTATTTTTTCTTGTTATATTTGTCTCATTCATTTTAATGGAAGCTAGGAGAAAGCTGTGAATGTTTTGGTAGAGCCATAGCTAACAATGAGTTGTACACTTCAGGTATATATGGATATTGCAGTTGTTAAAGAAGAAGCGTATGAGGCGGTATGTAAATTTCAGTTGGTCATTATACTTAACCTAATGTTTGTTGTATCAAAGAGTATATATTGCTTGAAATTTTGATGAAATAGCTGATGAAAATTAACCTACTGATCCAGCAATTGTTGATTGGAGGGGTGAATTTTTTGATGGAGGAAAAAACAGAAGGTTTTTTTATCGCATCAAATTAATTTTCGTTCTTGTTCCAGACTCTCCTTCCCCCCCCCTCCCCCCCTTCTTGTGACCCTTCCTCTTGATGTGCCACTAACAGAGGGTATATAGCTTGTCTTGTCAGAGGGTCTGGGGTTAAATTCTTCTTGGAGTCTCAAATTTTTCTTTGTCTCTCCTGTGTGACAAGTGAAATTTTGAATCTCTCTTTGTAGCTTGCTTTCAAATTTTTTTTTTTTTTAATTATTGTTTTCCTTTTTAAATATCACTGCATCTGCTGTACAAATTTCTCTTAATGAATCTCTTGAAACATGTTACTTTTTTCAATGCCCAGAAAACCACACATCTCGAACTGAAACCAGCCAGTATGTTAAGTGCTGTTGCAAGTTTAACGCCATTTTCAGATCACAACCAAAGTCCCCGTAACATGTACCAATGTCAGGTAAGTGAAACAGAAATAGTTTGATGGACTTTTGGCCGATGATCTGAACCCTGGCCAGGCCAAAAAAGACATGAAGTCTCATTCTAGCTTGCCTATCTGTTAGTTTTTGTGTGCGCTTTAGACACAGGCAGCCTTAACTGGCTTAATGAGCCTACTTAGATATGCAAATATGTTTATGTTGTGCAATTGGAGAAATATAAAAAATTTTTTGGGGTTAAATGGTTGCATTTGTAACCTTAAAATTAGCTTTTAATTCAAACAAAGTTACCTCACTTTTGTTCATTCCTTTACATTGTTTGAGTGTTCTGGGCTAATTCGTCTCCTTTGCTCTGTAGGAAAGGATATATCTTGGACAAAGCAAATGAGTTTAACGCCATAAGGAGATGCTATCAACACATATAGAATTCCTACATAGTTCATTTATCTTTCGTCCTTTTTTTCTTGTTTCCAAGATGGGGAAGCAAACAATGGGAACACCAGCACAAGCATTGAAATATCGCAGTGATAACAAACTATATAGAATACAGGTATTGAAAGGGCTTGGTTTCTTTAGAGCTAATTAGACAGGCTGTGACTCAGTTAGGTTTTTAACAGGGCATTGTGACGTAGTGTCTAATTAGTATTCATTTCCTCCGAGATGGTTGGTCTGGAAAAATTGCTTCACCTTCCAAACTTATCAATTGTGTTAACAATTAACCACATGGAATTTCATCACTTGGGTTTTCCTGTGCAGGTAGTTTGGTTAGTAGTTAAAACTTTGGCCAATTTACAGCTAACGGTTAATAATCATTCCACTGTGGTCACCAGAAAGTTTTTTTACAGTTAACCTCTTTTACGACTAACTGTTAAAATTTTTCAATTTTACTTTTAATGGCTAAATGTTTTGGCCATTTTACAGGTAACAGTTAACCCCATTAAGACCCTCTTAGATGAAAAGTGCCTTAAGCAAACTCTTTGTAAAAATAGCTCAGCTAAACTCAAAGAATATTGTGTTTATTCCTTTACATCAGACTCCACAGAGTCCTTTGGTACGACCAGTTGCTCATGATGAGTTATCTGTTGACAACTATGCCCTAGGAACAAATGCTGTGGTAGCTGTTATCTCCTACACGGTTTGTGAAATTAGGTCGTAATGTTTTAAAATAAAACAGGTACAAATTGTCTATTTACCCTCTTGAAATTACAGCATTGTCCAGAGCACAAAGAGCATTTGATTATTCAGACATCAACTGTTTATCCTTAAATCTTTTCCCACTTAATCCTTTAATTAGTATTGATATTCTCTACAATGATCTCTCTACATTTCTGGTGTTAATGACAAGGAGAATCTGTTTGACAATTGTGAGCTTCATAAATAGGTGATCACATCCTTTAAGGAGAAATCAGAAGCCAGTCACTCTTAGGGTTGAAGAGTTAATTATGTATTTTTTTTCAAGGGTTATGACATGGAGGATGCCATGATACTCAATAAATCATCTTATGAACGTGGATTTGCCCATGGCTCTGTTATCAAATGCGAGGTTTGTACCAAGTACGAGGTTTATCAATCTTTCATATTTTTACATATTTACAGAGGCTTGTGAATTCATATTGACTATCTATTCATGTTTTAACAGATCATCGATCTTAAGAAAGTTCCAGGAAATGAGTTCCAAGTTTCAAGTGTCAGATTTGGTGAGAATTTTCCTCACATAATTGTTAAAATAAACTCGCCAAACAACCCAATTTGTCAAATGTCATGTCTCTGTTGTCTTTTTGTTTATGTTTTGCTGTTTTGTATTTTTTTTTTTTTACCCAAAGCCATTCTAAACACACTGTGATTGGTTGGGTTTTCCAAAGCCATCATTTACTTTTCTTTTTCCAGTTAAACTTAGAGACTAAGAGGCCTCTGAGTGTTTGCCTTCGCCAATGGAAAGCAAGACATAGCTTTGTACATCCTTGGCCACATGTCATATCTTTTTTCACTCTTTTTGCACTCTCATTTTTTACAAACGATTTGTTTTTTCCAAGGCTGCCTTCCTGATGATGAACGAGTTCAAGGAATCCTCGACAGTGATGGTCTTCCACCAATTGGAGCAAAGCTGGAGACAGGAGACCCATATTATTGGTAAGAAACTTGTATTACTGATAAGAAATCTGTATAATCAGTTAGAAAACTTTGATCATAGTAGTGCGAAACCTGCATTAATTGTTAAAAAACGTGATGCATTCTAGGTATCAGTCCTGTATTAATGGCACGAGACTTAGTGGACGTCTATAATGTAAGACTTGAGTCTCCATTGTTTCTTTAAATCTTCATAGTAGCCATGTGCTTTTAAATTCATTGCTGTGAAGTTTGCATGGTTCATTCCCTGCTTCTGTAATTGGCAACAAATCTTTACAAGAGCAGTCATAGTTTTTGTTGATTAATGAAGACTTTAATTGGCACAAAATCCCATTTTAAACTTCGACTACGTGTGAACCAAACCAAGAATCTCCTAACGCTGGACGCGTGTTGTTATTGATGTTGTATCCCGTAACATTGTTTAAATTTCATACCTTGCTGTCAGTTATTGTGTGATGACTAGTAAGTGATGACATCATATTATGCGTGTCATCTGATTGCCTTGGAGTAAAACATCACTTGATCTCAACCCTTGTTTTATTGGTTGTTACTCATGTGACGTCATTGCTCTCTGTCAATTTGATAAAATTGCAAGTCTGATACTGGTCATACGTAAGCTTCATTCCCAGCATAATATCGGTTATATTTTCTTTACATATAACGTATTGACATAGGTATATAAATTGTACCTTTCGAGTTAAAACGGCTTTTAATTAAAAAAAAATGAAACTGAAGGATAGATTTAGTTTAAATGCAGCCCTTGTTAGTGGCCGTATTTTCCAATCCACTGACTGTTTTTCTTGTTATAGTTTCATTGACGACAACATTGGACAAGCAGTCATCCAGAAATACAACAGCTTAGAAAGCGCGATTGTTGAAGATGTAAGCACAGTTGTAAACTTCCCTGCTGTTTTTAATTTCCTGCTATGTGCAAATGGCAATTGAGCTGGTTGATTGTAACAGTTTTGTTCGTTTTTCTCTGTATATAGGTAAAAGTTCTTGGAAATGATGAAGGGACAGGTTTGCTCCAAAAAGCTTCAATTAAATTGAGAATACAGGTATGAGCTGTACTCCTGAATAACATTTATTTATGTTGGGGGAGCAGAGATAAGACGGAGGTGAGAGCACTCTCCTCCCACAGCTGTGGCCTGGGTTCGATTCCCAAAACTGGCGTCACATGTGAGTTGAGTCTGTTGTTGGTTCTTGTTCTTGCTCTGAGGGGTTTTTGCCGGATCCACCGGTATTCCTCCCTCCACCAAAAACAACATTTCAAATTCCAATTCAAAACAGTGGACAAGAAAAGCTTAATTCCTATTCTTATTCCCATTTCCATTGCTATGCTTCACATTCTCGTGGGTTTCGTCCAATGCTGTAGTCGTGAGGGATAAAGTTATGAGTGGAAAAAAAATAAAATTACCTCTTTGACAGTGGTTTTTGCTGCATGAAGAAGTTAAGGTTGAATCTCCTTGTGCAGCATAATCAAGAGAACCTCATGGAAGTACTCGTCAGTAGCCTCATTTGACCGCACACTCGACTTCTTTGCTAAATCACCTAATGCGATCTTATGTAAGTGTGATGGTCGACATGAAATTTTATTTTTAGAGAAATCCAATCATTGGAGACAAGTTCTCAAGTCGTCATGGACAGAAAGGGATTTGTAGGTAGGTACTTAGGTTATAAGAAATAATTGATTCAGATGTTTGCGGCTCAGGCGTTATAACAAACGCTGGTTACTGACGTTGTACCGCCGCCTAAAACGATAACACCTCCTACTGCTGTCCATGGAGCCTCTAAGTAGGTTCTTGTTTTTGGTTTCACGTTATGACCCCTCTTCTTGGAGCAGCCACCAAACGTTAATGAAACCCCTTGGGCAGCTTTAGATGCTGCATTAGCCACACAAGGCTCGTCCCTTCTATTAATAATGTACTTCAAAATTTGTGTTTGGTCGTAAATATCAACCTGTATTGCGAAGGTGCGGCCAAGCTGCATACCATCTTCTTCGTGAATTCGCCTCGTTTTATCCTGAGGAAGGTTTCCTGTATTTGTTGAAGAAAAAATTAAAAAATAACTTAAAGCGCGAGAACCGAGAAACCGTTGAAATGATTCATTTCTTTTTTTTCTCTTTTAGCCAAAAGTGGCCTGTTGAGAACATGCCTTTCACAGAGTCTGGAATGACGCCAGATATTATATTCAATCCTCACGGCTTCCCTTCACGTATGACAATTGGTATGTAGACCTTCTCACTTCACTTTACAGACCCTCTTTTTTAGTTCAGGTAGTTATAAACTTTGCCAATCATCCTTGGTGGTTAGAAGTTATAACAACAAATAGGTTTGTCCGCAAAGAAATACTGTCATGATTATCACGATTAAGTGATAGAGCAATTTTCAATCGAGAGTTGAAAGTTATCCGGGATTGCATTAGTTTTGCTTTACGTTGCTGTGTGATTGGTCCAGAAAAGTCATACCACCCTCTCAACCAATCAAATTCAAAACAAACACCAATCGAAAATTGGTCACCCGTTTTTCCCGCGCTTCAGGCAGTTTAACTGTTTTCATGTTGAGTTTTCATTGGCTCTCAAAGGTGTTTTCCTCTCTTCTGGTTGGCTGTTGTAATTAATTTGGTGTTGGTTTTACGAAATTCGAATGAAACGTTCTCTTATTGTTGAAACATGCTTTGACTCTTTTTGTTAGGTATGATGATTGAGAGTATGGCGGGAAAATCAGCCAGCCTCGATGGATTGGCCTACGATGCTACACCATTCACTTTCTCAGAAGATAATCCCGCCATCACATACTTCGGAAGTCTTTTAAAAAAATGTTTGTAAACTCTTGTTTGCTTTTATGATATATTTGTTTTTTTTTTCCAAGGTATTAAATTTTTGAAAAAACACCAGCTTGTTAAGTGAATTTATTATGGTTCCGTGTACATAATGACAGAAAAATGATGACCAATCTTCAAGTTTTCATTGTACTATCGTTCAATTCTTGATTTATCTTCCAGCTGGTTACAATTACTATGGTACGGAGCGGATGTACAGTGGCGTCGATGGTAGAGAATTTGAAGCAGATATCTTTTTTGGAGTTGTTTACTATCAGCGTCTCAGGCACATGGTAGCTGACAAGTATCAGGTAATTTATTCCCCTCCCACCCACCCATCCGTCTTATACTTGATTCTTGTCTCACTTTGTATCAAAACGTTTCCAACCAGTGTATGATGACAAACTATTATGCGTGTCATCTGATTGGCTCTAACAGCGGTGTGACGTGATTTTAGCCAGTGTTTTATTGGTTAAGATCCACAAATACGGCTAGTTAGCGGTCAACTTGATAAAAAATTAAGTCTGACACTGGCGTACCATCTCAGTCAATAAGCAATTTATCATTGGACCGTTGCTCTTTCTTCCTTACGCCTCGCAGTTCACAGGGTCTTTCGAGTTCTTAGGGCCTTATTCCCACCTTTATTTTAGGCTTTTGGATAAGAATTTCACCGTCTAAAAGCATTAACAATAGATAGATTTAGCCAAGCCTAAAAGCGGTGCTCGCATTTTTTTCCCGCACGTCTCAAGGGCACAACGTCTTGCCCCGGCCAGGACTAGAACCTGGGTCGTCCGACTCGGAGCCCAGTGCACTGACCACTGGACTACTGAACAAAGTCGTGGCGTTGGCGTGCCCGCGGTACAGTTGACCACGCATGTTAAAAGTAGCACCTTGTACGGTCGTTTCGGCTTGATGGGTTACTACCATTTTGTATAATTATGGGGTTACGCTCTGCGAGCTCCGCTATCATGTGACGTCATTATTTTTATATGGCTATTCAATTCTTTTCTCTTTATACAGGTCCGGACAACAGGTCCTATTGACATACTCACGCACCAGCCTATTCAGGTAACAGCATATTTTGCTAACAGGGCTCTTGACAATGTACTTACCAGTATGTGATGACATCACTTATGCGTGTCATCTGATTGGCTGTGGACAATGTGTTACATGGTCTCAGCTGGTGTTTTATTGGTTGTTACTGTGGGACATTGTGTTCCAAGGCCAAAGTGATAACGCTTATACTCTGATGCTGGTGCAGATGCAAGTGGAAAGAATGTATCATCTATTAGTCTCAAAACCGTCTCAAAGAGCTTAAACGTAGAGAGGAAAATCTTACTTGAGGGGGGAGGGGTGGGTATCTTGTCAGAGCCAAAATTGCAAGAAATGTGTGAGAGAATGGTGAATTTTCAAACACATTGCAAATGACAAACTAAAAGTATTCAGGCTGAATGGTTTCAATAAACACAAACTGTTACGTGGCTTTTCCAGGAAATACAATAAGAGTTAGACGAGGAAAAAGGTCGCTTAATCAGCGTAATTGTTTGCTTCACAAACTTTATATTCAATCGTATCAGAAATACCCTCCTACTCTTACTTGAAATTCTGAGTATAAGATCACGGACCTTTACTGTCGTTCAGCCGTGTTTTCGTTCCATCACTTTAAGTTCGAATTCTCCTCTCTTGCTGACAAGTTTGTCGAAGTTTATCCTTGTAAACTTCTACCAACGCTGCGTTCTTTTCCGAGTTAAGTTCGTGTGCTCTCCCTCAATGGATGGTCATATCGTATTATCAAACATTGGGCTAAATATTATTTGTCTAACAGTAGGTATGTTTCCATCTTGTAGGGTCGCAAAAGACAGGGAGGTATTCGGTTTGGAGAAATGGAAAGAGACGCATTGCTTGCACACGGTGCTTCCTATCTATTACAAGATCGCCTCATGAACTGCTCAGACAGGACAGTGGTGAGAATTGCAGTCGGATCAGTTTTGCTTGACAGTGTAGATAAAAACATTTGATCAGAGTTTCCCTGTAAATTCTTCCTGTTTGAATCTGACAGGTGTTTGTCACGGTTTCCTTGCTAGGAATTTGCTCGTGTAGATCTTTTGACAAGGATTATTATTGGTCATGGAAATTGTACAGGGTGAAACTGACGTTGGTTAGCGATTCGTTGCCTGTGGAATGTGGAATGGAATAGAAAATCCATAGAATTTAAGGGTTAAGGCAATGGACAGAAACTGTTTTCAAAGCTAAAGCTGTTTACAAAGTATAGACTTTCATTCCTGTAAGTAATTGAGGTGTCTCCGTATTAGTCAGCAGTTCCCTGTAAAATCTCGCCTTTTAACGCCAGTCAGTTAATCTGTTTGTTCTGTTTCTCCCTTCCTTCTTTCCAGGGTCATGTATGTACAAAATGTGGTAGCATACTCTCTCCTCTCCTGGAAAAACCCGCGGATGAGCTGGCAGCTGCGGCTGCGCACAGGAAGAGGAAATGGATTTGTAAAGTTTGTGAGAGCAGCGAGCATATTCAGTTGTTAGCCTTTCCTTATGTCTTCCGATATCTTGTTGCTGAGTTAGCGGGAATGAACATCAAGACGTGTTTACAAGTAAAGAAAGTTGGAACGTAAAAGCTTGCAGTGAAAACAGATAGGGACAAGACCCACACCGTAGACCGTTGGGGTTGTTGGCTACCACTTAAATAGAATCTATTACCGAGCCTGTGGGTCTCAACTTAGCGTTTGCAAGTGGGAATTTTCACATCTTTCACAGTGCTTGCCTAATGATTGACTAGAGAAGAAGAGGAGAGAATTGTAAGGACTACCAAACGGCAGATTAACAACGTTTGCCAGATTGCTTGAAAATATTCAGCAGAAGATAGAAAATATCTCCCATTTAAAGAAAGGCGAAGATTTTTCACACAATGAAACGCACACAACAAAATCTATTCGTTTCCCGTTCGAGTACGACTTAGCTAGGTTCTTAATCCCCTGGGTGAACGAGATGGGTAGCCGTTTGACAGCAGTGTACACCTGTAGCAAACACTTTGCTATGGTCTTTGCGTGGAGTAACATTGACTACAATTTTCCTCAAAGGAAATGAAGATATATTGGGATTGCAAGGCACACATAATGAAGTAACACATAATGAAGTAAGGACCTGAGTACAGTGCTATGAAGACTTCGGCACCGGAAGTGAAATCTTAGAGGGACATGAGCTGTGAAGGAAACATTTATCAATGTAAAACAATCAGGGCTCATTTCTTATCTTGTTCCAACAAAAATTATCAATTCCAACAATACAGTATAAAAAAAATCTTTATTACTCTACATATAATAAGGAAAAGCACAATGAACATTCACGTTTGTGTTCTTTTTACAGTCAGTAATGTAACAATAAAGGGGCTATGTTTAAGGACTAAGAGCACAAAACCCACATTAATCTTTCTCAGAATTTATCATGTGTTATTTAAATGGTCCTGGGTGCCTTAATACATTATTAAGAAATAGAAACATGCAGCAGTTTTATCTTTATGTCAGTATATTGTTAAACAGATTGCATAGCTGTAACTCGAACATTTTTCTACCAAGAAACAATGATGAACAATGCTGTGATTATGCAAGTTTCTCTAGAGATGGAGATGAAAACTTTTAGTTTTTGGTCAATTTGGAGACAAACCAAGATCTGTCGACAAAAATACTTCTATCAGTGAGGCATCCTTTTGATATCCAAGTAATGCAAAGAGAAAAATTCCCACTGTAACTAACCCATTCAGATAAATAATTGGACACCAGACTTCTGGAGTGTAAAATAACTTTGTAGTATATGTAAAATTGACTACAACAAATATTTTCTAGTGCACAAACTAAGAATAGTTTTGGAACAAGTGTTCCCAAAATAACCAGGCTATGGAGCCTAGAGATGATGCACAAAGAAAATTCCTGTTTTGACTAGTTCTTTGAATTGTTAGATTTCAAGGACAAGTGAACTACTTTGTGTCACCACAGTATCATTTCATTGTCAATCTGAAGAAAAGAAGCTGCAATTTTATTGCAAAAAAAAAATTAAAAATTAAAAAAAAACAGGAAGTCAAAATGCAGAATTCAAACAGTTAAAGGCACAAATTTTCGGGTCCAAAGAGGTAACGGTTATGAAGAAGAGTATATATAATGAAATAAACAGCCTTAGTAGTTATCAGAACCAAAATTAATCCCTGTTTTTAAAATAACTGACCCAAATATGTTACCTTCCAATTTGAGTTAATCATCCAGTGATGCAGCCTTACTGTTGCAAATCTCTATGAGCCATTTTCACAGATAAGGTGTTTGTAATGTCATCAAGACCATCTACATGGGCCAAATTTACAAGACAGAAGATTGCAGCTTAATTATTGCAGCAGCTGCCATTCATTAAACAGAACTTGACAGAGCCTGGAGCTGTTTATGAGTGTCCACTGCTTTTCTGGCCTCCTTTTTAATATACAAGCAGTAGTATTCAAAACTAACCCACTGGATAATCATATCAAAAATGTAACTGTGTCATTCCTTCTTTGTTGCAGTTCTTGTCTCAACTGCAAGCACTTGCTTAAAAAGTTTGCCTCAGAGCCCAAATCTTTCAGCTCTCTTCTTCTTAGCCTAGCAAATAGAAAATAATAACATTTGGAGAAGTCACATTTACAAAGGACATACCTGCTGGTACTCTGTAGTTTACAAAAGCAGAAGTCATCTGAACAGTATTACAATTCTTAACTCAAAACAAGATTGGCAATTTAACTTACATCTGAGATGTTTCCTGGAGATCCTGTAATAGTTACACCAAACCGTTGTTTTCTCTTCAGCAATTTATCATTTTCTTCAAGCTAAATAAAAGTAAAGAAAATTGCCAATATTAAACAAAACATACCAGGTAAGATACAACAGAAGATACATGTGTTTGGTGAGAGTTTAGTTGATCATTGAAAATTATATTCTTTGATACTAAAAATAAGACAAACAGAAAAGGGAGAAAAGAAAGGAAACACTGTAAGAATCTCAAAACTGCCCCATTAAAATGCATTAAAGTAATTTTGTCATTGTTTTATTTATAAGGTAAAATTACTTTCAATTTCAAGCACATTACAGATCATCAGTTCCACTGGGCTAAGGAACTCTAAATGGGCAATTAAATTGAGAAAGAAAACCTTGTTGCATTTATGCCAAATGTTATGGCATACACAAAATTTTGCTTATTGAAGTATAAGTGTGATGTGGCAAGGTGCCCATGAAAGCAACTTCATGATGTTTATACTGTTCCATTAGATTTATCATACACAGACAGTGATGTGTTTCATTTTGATGGTTTCTAGCTCTTGAAAGTTTTTAAGAGGATTCTGCAAGCAAAAGTGGAGTGCTATAACTCTTGATGACCAAAAGGGACAACATATCTTTGTTTTTAGCTGAGAGAAGTAGAAATGTTGTAATATACATCTCAAGTGACTACATCATGAGACAAATGATTAAATGTAAACCTAACTCTGAAGTTGTGTTCTACAAGGCCGTCAATTTGTAACAGAGAACAAAATTGTAGTTGGCAAGATGTCTTTACCTTGGTTATAGCAGGAGAGACTGCACCAAATCTTTCAGCTCTTTTCTTTAGCTTATCAACATCTACTTCCTGTTAAACATAACATGACTACATGAAATTTTGTACCATTTAACATGTAAGATTAAAACATTACTGGTAGCTTCTATGCTGCTAATTGTCCCTAACAAACATTAACATTAAAATGAGTTTACCTTTCCCCCAACAATTGGTGAACTCTTGGCAGTTCCATTACTGGCAGGGCTAGAAAAACCAAATCTAAACATACAAAGGAGGCAAAAATAATTAAGAAAGTAAGTTCCTTAGGTTTTCTGCTCTACCATAAGCCATTAAGTTCAACTAAACAAATGACAATGGGGATGAGTCGTGGGTCAAACTATTTGCGCAACTGAATCGAAGCTTCCTCATATTGAACACCAAAAGGTTTATTTACCTCGCACAAACCAAGCTTGAGATCTGTAGTGGAATGCGAGGGCTACATTTTTTTGCACTTGGATTTTTACATGACGCCATAAATCCGTGTGAACAACAACAAAAAAAAAAACAGGGAGGTTCTGTAACTTACATTGAGGACCAAGAAGATGAGGTTATTAACCCTTTAACTCCCAGAAGTGATCAACATGAAACTTCTCCCCATAATATCCTAACATGAACCAGCAAATAGGTAATGAGAATATTAAAACTTATCAAGTAGAAGTTTTTATCTTGATCTAACACCAAATTCTCATTACTACTTCACAAAGAAATGTGTAGCAGCTTAAGGGGAGAATTAATAATTTGATCTTGGGAGTTAAAGGGTTAAGATGTAAATTATATCTCTGGACTCAAAGAGAGGGAGAAGGTTTCAAATCAAACAAACTTTGGAATTTAACCAAGCCGTTTGGTGAAATATGGCATGCTAAATTGACCATATTGCAAGTGTTAACTGAGAGATATTACAAAACAGATCATAACTGACCTCTGAGCTCTGGCTTGTTTCTTCTCAACATCTGTCACCGGTGGAGACATACCAAATCTTTCTAATCTCTTTGACTTTTTCTAGCAAACAACAAATAATCAACTAATAATTTAGCTTATGTAATTTCCAAGAACAACTTTTCTCAATTGAGTTATTCAGCAAATAATTAATCCTTTGAATATTGCACCTCTGCATCAGTTAATGTCACTTGACCAGCAACTTTTCCAGGAGGTGTAATGGGCACCCTTTCGCTGTAAAATAGAGGGAATGCATGTATTAAACACAATGTAGTTCACACTATTAAAAACAACTAAATGAATAAAATCACTTCAAAAATTGTGTTGTATCCGTTTTTCCACTAGCAAATATTAATTAAATGTATCAGCAATGTCAATTTTAACTTCCCAACTATTCTTGTAAATTGCCGAGTCCCAGCAGTTGGAGTTATTCACCAATGCTTTTTTTTAGGGTGGAACAACAAATGATTCCCATAAAACACATGGTTAACAACTCCAGTCTTGCTCTTCCCTATTTAAAATGAGTTCCTGTTAGCTAACTGACTGGGATAATTACACTCATACCCACTATAAACAGACAAAATATACTTTTTACCCTGTGTATCAGACCAGGGTTGTTCAAAGTGTGGATAATGCTATCCACTGGATAAATGGGTAAACAGTTATCTGCTGAATAGCAATTTATCCATTGGATATCACTATCTGCCCTTGGAACAACTGGGCCCTAGTGTACCTTTCCCAAAAATAACATTTTTTGTTTTCATGTTAAGTAAAAAATAAAAGGGTAGTCTGGGTGTGTAGATTCAAATGAAAATTGCCTAAAAATGACAGTCAATCTGCTGTGAGAGGAAAAAACAAAAACATTTCTCAGCTTTCTAGATGCATCAACCAATAACATTCTCACTTACACTGAAATAACTTTTTGTGTCTTTTTTTCATCTGCTGTAACTTCCTGAAAAGTTAAAGAAATACATGTAAACCCACAATGTTATCATTACAATTGAAAAACTGTGGTTGTTGCTTTATATCCTGTGCCTTATCATTAACTCAGAATGACACTTATCAAAATTCCTCAGAATCCCAAGTGATGTACCATTAGAGACTTTAAGTTACCTTAAAAGGTCTCATAAATGTCAACTCAGTGGGTCAATCAAATAAATCCTACTGTCAGGACTGTAGCGTTAAGATACAAAAAAAAATACAGCTCAACATTGCCAATGTACTAACACATAGATCAGTTAGTCACAATTCACAAAGCTTGGCCCACTTAAATGTGATTTATTCAGTTGAGAGCACAAAGGAAACAACAGATCTGAACACAAGTGGAATATTACACTGCTCATCCATCTTCCACATCAGTTGCAAGGTGTGGCAAATAAAAAGAATCATTTTCACCTGGGTAACTTCTTTATCTTCTTCTGTGTCTTTTGTGTCCAAGTCTTCAGCCTCAAGGTGTTCTGAAACATCTCCTACATCTACGTCATCCAAGTCATCAGCATCATTGTCTAGGTCATCATCAGGATCATTTTCATCAACAATGTCATCACTTTCATCTTGGCTGACCACCATACCTGACAGAAAGTATTATACTACTGTACTATTGTGGGGGTGGTGGACAGGAGTGCTTTGTTGAATACTGAACACCCCATGATAAGAGAGTCCAAAGAAGTTTAGTTCCTCCCCCACCTCCTCCCAATTATCTTATGCACCAAGGGTTCCCCAATTAATAACAACAAACAATTACTAATGACAAAAGGGTTGTATATTTAAACCATTCTACACACTTGATCCAAGTATCAATTCTCCAGGGTTCATACCATTATATCAAATTTTAGGGACTTTTCCATGACTCCAATCTAACACCCTTTGATTTCCAAGATTTCAAAATCAATTCTCCATAGTTAGCAGTTAGAGTTAACATACATTTCTTGTTTTGTATATTCTGAAAACTTTACTGCTTGAAATAAGCAGATTTCCAGGACTTTTGAAGACCCGTAGCTTTTCCAGGACTTTCCAGTCCTTGAAAACGTCAAAATAAAATTCCAGGACTTTCCAGGTTTTCCAGGACCCTTTTGACCTCTGACACTTAGCTCTGTCTTGCTCACATTTTAACAAATCAAGCTCTGAGAACCTGTTGCTAAATCGAACAATATCCTTAAGTCAATAACTTTCCTTTCTTCCACATGAAAATGAAGAAAATTACTTTTGGTCACTCCTAGGAGTGAAAGGGGTAAGGTACTAAGACACTAGAATTTGAATGCTCATCACAACACACAGCAACCAACCTTGATCAGCCAGACATTTTTCTAACCGTTCTTGCAAATCGCTTTTGTTGCCCTTCGTGGAGAGACCGCGATCTGCAAGCTCCTTTTTTAGCTCAGCTACCTATGAAAATAATTATAATCAAAACATGCCACGGATTAACTAATACAGCAGTCATACTTGTAATTGATTAGTCCAAGTGAGAAGAGACGATTCAGTATTTACTATCGATGCAAGCTGCTTCATCAATGAGTACATCGTTCATGAATCAAAGTCAACAGAAAGAAAAGCTACGTACATCGAGCTTTAGCACTGTAAAACACTGATGTCACTCATGTAAATTGCTTATTTCTTGGATAGAACTTAGTATTTTAATTATTTCATCCGTTGCCTGTAGTGCGATCTATCTTAGGTCCTTAATAAATCAAAGTACCTTCAGTTTCTTGAGGTTTATTACTGCTTCACCGTCCGCCATCTTGCCTTTCTGAG